TTTGTTTATTGTAGCTGTAAGCTAATGGCAAATACAAATTAAAATTTATTGAGAAGAGATATAACATATGTCATCAATGAAAAATTAATAAACAAAAAAACATTGCTCAATAAAATTGTAGTTCCTTTCAGTTCGATTCATACTGCAGGTATTCTCAAGGGGCGGAACATGGGCAAACGGGTAATCCTTGGGCAAACCGAATGCCAAAATAGATGAGCATAGCGACCACACCGAGAATGAGCAGTATGCCGATCACAATGAACGCGATTGTGCCCGGGTGCACTGTGAAGGGAAAACAATAACAAACCAATTACATCCGATAAATTGTGTGGTCGATTGATGAAACATCAAGCAAGATTAGCTTTACTTGACCAGTTTANCTATCGTAAATGCCTGCAATTTGTTAACATCCATTTTTTAACACCCGACAGAGAGAATAGTGTATATCTCATTTAACTCGCATCTACGTTTGCTAAGTGAGGTGGTGTAAGTGTTCATTGATTTTGACCTTCCTTCCATCAGCTTGCATTTTCAAGCATAAATCTCTTTTCCTTCAGTTAACCATTCACCTGGAAATTATTACAGAATCGTGCTGCGCCTAAGTTAGGACTACATAATATTACGCATCCAACTTTCCTAAGTGACGGGCCTCCTTAACTCGAACTGGCATGTTAGACCCGATTTCGCGAAAGGCTTCGCATTAGGGTTAACGTGAAGCTAACTGTCTCCTTTTATTCAACGTAAGGGCACGTGAATTCACTTATTCAAAATAATATCTGAGTGACCTTGAACAGGTTATTCCCCTGAACTTCAGTGTGATCGCGTTTGAATGAAAACGTGAATTTCCAAATCTTAAATTTGCTTTTGAATGAGACGTTTACGATGCATTGACTTTAACATTCTGTGATACGTTTATGGCCTTGATGGGTCATTACGGTTTCAGTTAACACAACACCATAGATGTTTGTGGATGGAGTCAGTTCACGGGTGGTTGAAATGAAGGACGATGAGAGAACTCCAAATTGCATCCCGGTTCGCAGTTGTCCCTTAATTTTCCTGTAGATGTCCGTTCTATTTGACTTTGTTCGGATTAATTATCAGTGATTCGGCCGAATTTGGTTTAGTTTAGGGTATAATCTCTGTTGACTGGGAGTGAGGGCGACAATTGTGAATGGATCCCTTCAGCGGTTGTTGATTTCTGTGATTGATTTGGGTCTATCTCTGGGAAGAGTAAAAGTCGCTTCCACGTCCGGTTGCTTCGTTTTTTGTTGGGGCTTTTGAAGCTCATTTGGAACAATCAGTCGTTTACGCAAAGTCCAATTAGGTGACCTACGTTGTCCGTCCACTTGACTGGTTTTACATTTGAGTTCCCTAGGCACCATTCTGTTTTGCCTAAGTCTTTGATCCATGTGTTTATATCGTCGGCGAGTACCACGATTACTGTTGAATGAGTCATTTGATGCAGTTGAGTGGTGTCATTGTCAAAAATCCCTAGTTTCTCGTTCACTGCAATCAGTCTTGACATGCATGGACATGACGAATAAGTAGCAATGCTACTGTTGTTGACTCATGCTGAACCATTGAGATTCCAAGCACGGTCAGATAATGACTAGAATCCAGGCAGGAAGCGAGAGAAAACCCTTGCAACAATGCATCTCTACATCAACAATATGCCAAATCGCCTGACTCACGGAGAGCAATGTGAGAGGATGAGATTGAGTCTGAAGAATCCTGAATGATAGACGGAGTAGGATCTCGTATGCGCGCCGGTTACCAGCAATGTCTGCAACTGTATTAAGCCATAGATATTCTCTGTTCTCTATCGGGCCCCCAACCTGGGAGCCAAGATCGTCCTACCCATGCCAGTTTTGAGGTTAGCGCCTTCGTTGTTCGATCCCAGATTGTTCACTGTCCACCTTGTCGCCACTTCCAGTTAGTGTCTGCTTGCGCAAATATAACACGATGGGGCAATCGCTGAGCCGGCATCCGCAACACATGTCCATCGAAGTCTCTGGAGTGAGATGACGGCACTCAGAACGACTGAGATTGTCCGCGGTAAAGAATCTTCGGCGAACCTCGTCGTTGGTGATTCGCTGTTGCCAACGTATTCTGGCGATGCAACGAAGGCAAAGGTGGTCAAAGACACTTAATCTCCGTACGTCTTCTGCGTGGAGGGGCCAACTCTCACAGCCGTACAGTAGGACAGAGCGTACTGTTGCATTGTAAACGTGGCCTTTCAAAGGGATTCTGAGATTGCCTCGGCGCCACAAGTGACATAGGTTAGCAAAAGCCACTCAAGCCTTGCGGATACGCGCTGATATTTCTTCCGTCACTCCTCATTGAGCTGAAGCAACTCCCGAGATAAGTAAAGTGATCGATGATTTCCAAACTGGTCGTGC